AGTACAATAAAAAGAGTTACAAGAAATTTCAGATTCCACACCTGCCCCGAGAGCCTTTGCCTATTGGCATGGTCCTATTTTTTACTAAAAAAAGAAAAACAAGCAAAACACAACTGTTACTTGATTATCAGTGTTTCGCCACCACTATTCCTCAGGAGCAACTTTTGGAGAAGCAGTAGCCAGCACAAGGAAGAGGAGCACAATAAGCCTAGGTCTGCACTAGACCAGGCAGGTTGGCTTATGATACACCATCAGCCATGCAAAATGTGTAGCTGGAATCCACTTAACTTAAGCTGAGCCTACCCTGCAGGAGGCCAACAGGGGCACGTGCTCCTGTCGGCTTCCCTTACTCCTTCCAGAATGAGTACAGGACGTTGGCGGGGGCTGCTCTCAATGTTTGATTTGGGGGTCTGCACTCGACCTGCTAAATTGAATTCTAGAAGATCGACCTCCTGATGGTCGATCTTCTCCATAGTGTAAACATACCCTAAATTTTCTACTTCTGTTTCAACCCTTACTGAGTTACTGCGGGTGCTACCATGGGAGTCACATGGTGTTCCCTCATCAGCTCTTAGGGTATGTCTAGACTACAAACCTCTTTTGAAAGAGATCGTCTAGACAGCCATAACACTTTCGAAGAAGCTGGACGCTCTCTTTCGAAAAAGCCCTGTTTGCATTCAGGACCTCCTTTTTTTGAAAGAGTTCTTTACAAGGCGATCTTCCTTGTAAAATTAGGTTTACTGCTGCTGAAAAAACCACCGCATTCTTTCAATTTAATTTAGAAAGAACGTGACTGCAGTCTAGACGCAGGTGAAGTTTTTTTGAAAAAAGGTCACTTTTTTTTGAAAAAATTCTGTATAGAATCATAGAATTCGAGGACTGGAAGGGACCTCGAGAGGTCATCGAGCCCAGTCCCCTGCCCTCATGGCAGGACCAAATACTGGCTAGACCATCCCTGATAGACATTTATCTAACCTACTCTTAAATATCTCCACAGATGGAGATTCCACAACCTCCCTGGGCAATTTATTCTAGTGTTTGACTACCCTGATAGGAACTTTTTCCTAATGTCCAACCTAAACCTCCCTTACTGCAGTTTAAGCCCATTGCTTCTTGTTCTATCCCCAGAGGCCAAGATGAACAAGTTCTCTCCCTCCTCCTTATGATACCCTTTTAGATATCTGAAAACTGCTATCATGTCCCCCCTCAATCTTCTCTTTTCTAAACTAAACAAACCTAATTCCATCAGCCTTCCCTTATAGGTCATGTTCTCTAGTCCTTTAATCATTCTCGTTGCTCTTCTCTGAACCCTTCCAATTTCTCCACATCTTTCTTGAAATGCGGTGCCCAGAACTGGATATAATACTCCAATTGAGACCTAACCAGCGCAGAGTAGAGCGGAAGAATGACTTCTCGTGTCTTACTCACAACACACCTGTTTATGCATCCCAGAATCATGTTTGCTTTCTTTGCAACAGCATCACACTGCTAACTCATATTCAACTTGTGGTCCACTATAACCCCTAGATCCCTTTCTGCTGTACTCCTTCCCAGACAATCGCTTCCCATTCTAGTCTAGACATAGCCCTTATAGAGCAAGAAATCTACTGTATTGCCTCAATAATCCACAAACCTCACTAATCTGCTCCTCCTTCAATTACTTCTGTCCATTACTATAAACTATATCAAAATATTTTTAACGCAGTACAGGCTCTGCTAAACTAAGACTTTACCTTTATAAGTGTTAATATGGTAAGATGCCCAGTTGAAACAATTTAAGTTTCTCTTTGCCTCACTCAGAGTTCAGCTGTCAAATAACAGTATTCCTGCTATACAGATTAAGAGTCAAATATGTGTTGCAGAGTAGCTGTGATGCATATCATACACAAACTGTTGAGACTGCATTAATTGCATTATTTTTTATGACATTCAGATTTTACATTTATCCCATTATTTTCTTTATTTTTTCATATAAACTATACTTGAATGCATGTCTTGCTTCTCCTTCAGTACAGTCAAAATGCTGCAGATCACCCAGCGATTCGTGGTATGTCTGTACACCAGCCACATGTTGTTGTAAGTATGAGCTTCAATTCACTTCTAAATGCCTTTTCCCATTTGTACGGTGTCAAAGGCACTCACAAGCCTTTACCATACCGTCTGGTCTATGGCACAAGTTCCGAGGTCTTGGAGTTCCAAGTCCTTTTCTCTTTGATTTTCTCTTGATAGTTTTTCCATCACATATTCTCTTACACATTCTTTCTTGCTGGTCCTCTTCTTCCCATTCTTACTTTGCAAGTCATTTTTCTCCCATTCTTATCACTTGTCCTCCCACTTGAAATGTACATCTCCAGCCTATTTATTACTGAGAGTCCCAAGTTCACCCTCCCCTTAATTTCTTCCGTGCATACTCTGCCCTCCATTTCCCTGTCATTCTCCTCAATATATTTATTATTTGTTACTCCCTGTATTGTAGAATCATAGAAAATCTTTTCTTCCATAGGTGTAAGACCCTGGCATTTTCAAATCACAGAGCAGTCAGGGAGAACACATGCAGCATATATTTCTTCTTTTAGTTTGTTACGTAACTGAGCTCCTACAGTTCTCTTTCTATCTTTTTCACTGTTGCCTTTTACTCTGGGCTCTTCTTTTCAACTCTCCAGATCTCTCTCTGATAGCACTAAAGTCTGTCTACACTCTAGTTAGCCACCTGCAGCTGGCCCACGCCAGCTGACTCGGGCTAAGGGGCTGTTTAATTGTGGGTTAGGCATTGCAGTTCAGATCGCAGCATGAGCTCTGGGCTCCTAGCCCCTCACAGAATATCCTAGAGCTTGGCCTCAGGTTCATCTACACCACAATTAAACTGCCCCTTCGATGAAGGGACAGGAGCCAGTGGCCCAGACCAGCTGCATGTTTTTAATTGCAGTGCAGATGTACCTGCAGTGTACTTCCCAAATACACAGATTCTTTCTTCTCTCCTGAAGTGTCAATCAACAGCTCTTTTCCCACCCTTTCCACCTGCAAACTTCAGGTCTCTTTCTATTTATCTTCAAACTGGGGTCTTCAACGCAAATGCCCACTTGCTATTGTTCTAACATTCAGGACTGCTATTGCACTATCACATAATACTGCTGTTAGAGTTGAAGTACGGATATGAACAGGCTAAAAACATCTTAGTTAGAATGCAGCAATAATGCCTCACAAAAGGCAACAACACAAACAGAAACTGGTTACTATAACACTATAATAATCAGCAGTTCCCTCTCTGATCATTGATAAAAGAATACGGCACATAAAGTAAAAAATAACAATGAGCCAAGCTGGCATGTTTAAATCCTGATTCTGACCTGGATCAAAATTAACTGAAAGTATGGGGCATTCACATCTGAAGTATGAGTTCAGGTCCATCTTTAGTGAGAACTAAGGGATGTTAAAAGGATACAAATAATCCATAGTGCTTCAATGGCATGTTACAAAGATCACTTAACAAGCAAAGAAACACAGCAACATCTGGATAATTAAAATGAAATTATTGACAAGAATATTTGGAACGGGATGAATGTCACCTCCAACAAGGTTTAGTGGGTGAAATACAGAAAAGAAAGGAACAGTAATGGAAAGATAGGAAGAAATTCTGTGGATGCCCATTTCTAGGGACAAGCATTCAATGTGTCCTAAGATCACAGTCTTCCCTTTAGGCTAGCCTTTCTGCAGCTAAACACCCACCAAACAGACTTAATATAATTTTGATAATATTCTCAGTTTCAAGAGTATATTGACTTGTGGAGTTCATCAGGATCCATTTTTCTTAGATTCAAAAGAAGTGTGTAAGTAAAATGTGACTTTTTAAACTATATTTGATGCAATGTTTGATTTTCCACTTGTTTACATCTGAGTAAATTTTCAAAGCTCACACTGATTTCAACCAAAGGCATGCAGACAAATTCTGGACAGCACTCTGACAATTTACCTTACCCCTGTCAATATTCATATTTCAGGATCAATTAAGAAAAAAACAAAAAACAAAAAATCACATTTTGCAGATGTGCATTTTAACATTTCAGGCTATAATCATAAGAACATCCATATTGGGTCAGACCAAAGGTCCAACTAGCCCAGTATCCTGTCTGCCAACCATGGCCAACGCCAGATGTTCCAGAGGGAGGAAACACAACAGGTAATCATCACATGATCCCTTTCCTGTCACCCAATTCCAGACAAAATCCAACACATCTGGAGTAAGATGGACACTGGAGCAGCAGTTTAACATCTAGCAATCTATTAATTCAATATATATGTCTAAAACATTTATCTTGTATTATCTTTTTCATATTCTAAAAATCCCCATATTTCAAGTCATCAGTGACCTTTTCTGTTATAAGAATATCACATGCCCTCCTCAGAGGTGAGATATTATAAGGGACTCCATTCCAAGATTTTGCCAGAGCATACTTGGATGGTGTGAGTGCAACTTTATGTTATCAAGTCTAGAGAACTCTCTGACTTGAACACCCCAAATCAATACTACTGGAACCATTTGTACTTTCACTTTTATTAAATCCACCATGATATATTTAAATCCTTGGCCAATTTTTCTCTGCTTTGGGATGATCCTATCAAAGACAGCATAGAAAACTGTCCCAAAGGACTTTTTCTTTGTGACACTAGAACCAATTAAAAAAAAACAACAATCACATAAAAACGTTATACTGGTACTTTTCTTTATTCTTCCTGCAATTTTATTGCAAAAATTTGTCTTTTGTAACTTCTTATGTTTTATTCTGAAACAAACCTTATCCATGGAAATGGCTCTGATATAAAAATCAGCACCGTATTTTCATTATAGTGCTGAGTTTCTATTCAAGCAATAAATATTCTGAATATGGACAACAGGCATCTCTTCATGTTACAACACATGAAAATGATACACCACCTTTCATCTAGCCAAGGCAAACAAGAGATATTAAGAAAACACACAGCAGAGACAAATCAGTACTTACCACAGGGAATTTTGTGTTTGGGTCGAATTCTGTAGAATTTGCATCTGGAACATAAAAAATTTAGAATAACCATCATACACTTTCATCATCTTAAATCTGCACTGTCACAATAAAAATCACTACACGATCCGGGGGGGAGGGGCTGATTAAAGCCTGAGCCCACCTAAGCCTTGATGCTCTGGAGCAAAAACCAAAGGCTTCAGCCCTAGGTGGGGCGGGTCCTGTAACTCAAATCCTGCCCCCTAAGATTGAAGCTCTTAGGCTTTGGCCCTGTATGGTGGGTCTTGGGCTTGAGTCCTGGCCCCAGCAAGTCTAATGCCAGGCCTGGCAACCCCATTAAACTAGGGTAGTGACCCCCATTTTGGTATCTTACGCATCAGTTTTGTTGGCTTGAACCCCTATGCACAGTCTTCAAAAGGAATGTGTGTAAAGTGCAGCGCCCCTGGAGCAGTTGCTGGGCAAGACTATATGTTGAAAAGGGATGTGATTCCCAGCTCAGGAAAACATATCTGTCCTACCACTGAGTAGCGAGACAGGGTAGTTGCCCCAACCCAAGCACATACCTAAGATCTCCATCAGCTATGTATTCAATGTGGCTAGCCTCTTTTCTTGCGTTCGCGCTGCAACCACACTCTATATTTAGCATGCCAGCCATATCAGAGCTAGTGTGGGTATGTCTTTGTGAACTAGGAATTATAGCCCCAGCTAGAAATGTAGACATGTTAGTAAACACTCACCGGTCTCACTTTCTCCCCTGTTAGGGTATGTCTACACTAGAAAGTTAGTTCGAACTAACGGACGTTAGTTCGAACTAACTTTCCTATGCGCTACACTAGCGCTCCGCTAGTTCGAATTTGAATCGAACTAGCGGAGCGCTAGTGTAGCGCATAGGAAAGTTAGTTCGAACTAACGGACGTTAGTTCGAACTAACTTTCCTATGCGCTACACTAGCGCTCCGCTAGTTCGAATTTGAATCGAACTAGCGGAGCGCTAGTGTAGCGCATAGGAAAGTTAGTTCGAACTAACGGACGTTAGTTCGAACTAACTTTCCTATGCGCTACACTAGCGCTCCGCTAGTTCGAATTTGAATCGAACTAGCGGAGCGCTAGTGTAGCGCATAGGAAAGTTAGTTCGAACTAACGGACGTTAGTTCGAACTAACTTTCCTATGCGCTACACTAGCGCTCCGCTAGTTCGAATTTGAATCGAACTAGCGGAGCGCTAGTGTAGCGCATAGGAAAGTTAGTTCGAACTAACGGACGTTAGTTCGAACTAACTTTCCTATGCGCTACACTAGCGCTCCGCTAGTTCGAATTTGAATCGAACTAGCGGAGCGCTTAGTTCGAACTAGCTTAGTTCGAATTAACTAATTCGAACTAAGTTAGTTCGAACTAGCGCTGTAGTGTAGACGTACCCTTACCTACTTGTTTCTGGGAGTAACAATTTACTGCTGGCCTAAACCAAGAACTAAAGCACTAAATTACTACCCTCCTTGCACTTATTTGGCTACTTTGATCACTGAGAAGGGGGTGCAGTCAACACTTCCCCAATTCCCCACCACTACCTACCCACCTGCTCGAGGGAGAGAGTATAGCGATGAGCTACCCAGTTTATTCCTATGCTCCTGAAACCAAGATTGGAGTAGTCTGCACAGGGGTGGAAAGGGAGTTCTTACTCATAGGCATGCAGTCCAATTCACAGTCTAGCTGTCTAGCTCTTAGAATTTGTTCAAATTGAACTAAATGCTTAATACTATGATCTGAATAATATAAAGTTCATATAAAGAATAAGCTTTCTTCAAAGTGAGCCAAATCTATACTAGGATTGTAAAATCACCTTTCCACTTTAAACAGTTTCTTGCAAACTCCACCACTGCCAGCTGCATCCCCAAGCAAACTCCTGCAAAAAAGAGAAGAGAACAGTTTCACAGAATAGAAAGCAGAATTTACAAAGTAGTCTCGATTCAGCCTTCGGAATACCCCGTTTTGATTTCTGGCTGCCCCATTTCTAAATACAAACCCATGGACAATTTCCATTATGGTAATCCTAAAGACTGATTGACTAAAATTATGGACAATAAATTTAAAGGTGACTTTAGATTATTCAGAATAATAATGTCCTCAGAGTCCTACACAATAACTTTTATTTCATTTTAAATATTATGTGCCTACTAGGGATAATCTACAGCTGAAAGTTTGGGTAGGTTCACTTCCAAGATTTTGGCTGGGCTCATCCCTAGGATCTAGTCAAAGAAATCACCATGCGGCTTAGATTGTAAGTATCACAAGGTCACCTTTCGATGTGTCTGCATACCTGGCTGAGCTCTTAATTGGACACTACTCTAATAGAATAGTGCAGTTAAAAGAAATAAGCAATACAGAGATGATCAGATATAACAAATATGTTGAATCGTATATGTTCTTCCTATACCTTGAGATAAAATTATAATGTTGCTCATTTATTACTCTTAAAAAATCAAAATGTAAAATCTATGAATTAATTAAAGTTAATTATGATAATTAACCACCTTCCTCTACATATCTTCAGCATTCATTCATATTTCCTTAGTTGAAAGATCTTACCAAGAAAAGGTTTTTTCTTTTTTCTTGCCCAAGATATTGCTCGGAGTTTGCCTTCTGTTCCCCTAAATCCAAACCCTCCTGGGACCAAAATGCCACTGTAATAAAATACATAAATAAAATGATTGGGATGCAGAATAAAGACCAAAAAAAAAGTCTCTGAGTGTCAGCTAAAGGATAGACATGTTAGGTTAAAATTAAATAAACATGGTGATCAGAAGCACCATATTTTACATAATCAGTGATCTTTAATGAGAAATACACCTCATCAACATTGGACTTATTTCAAATTTTGAAACTATGTATTAGTGTTCTAGCCAAATTCTAAAGCAAGTAATTACATCTTTTCTACTTAAATTCCTATTGATTTAATAAGTTAAAAAATTCTTCTTCGCTTCTTGACCCTAAACTGTTGGGTGGTATTGCTGATGCCTTTACAATAACTGATGAGTAAAACTAAACAGATACCTCATGGTTGTGGATGAGCAGATAAAGTAAAATGTTCTCTCTCATTAAACAGGGTGAACTACTTGTCCTAATGACATCAATCGCAAAATGTCTATTGATTTCCATGTGGTCGCTTACAGTTTAATAATTTAGCAAACTGAGTTGATAGATATAAAAACAGAATTACAAAAAAAATCATGAACATTTAGAAGCCTGTGTGCAACATTTACGTATTCATTTTTTATTATGATGTTTAATAGCAAAAATAAACTATTGATCTTTTAGTCACACGAGAAAAGACAGCATTTCTGAAAATGCCTAACTCTTCAAATATATCTAAGCACTAGGGCCCGTTAAATCCCACCCAACAGGTCAGAGAAGGGGTTGAAGTTCTGGCGCAATGTTTTTTTCCTTACTATCTCCTTTAGTATAGCTCCTTCTGGTCACAAACCAACATGCAGCTATTTCTTTTTGTCAGGAACCAACCTAAATTCCTAAAAAAAGTCTAGCTCGTATACCCTAGCTGTCATTTGAAATGCACTTCAGAATTAGTGTAATATTTTTACATAAAATAAAATATCTTTTCCATCATGTTTTTTACAAGGCAAAGTGTTGAGTTGAAAAAGAAAGATAAGATGGTATAGGATATTGAAATTATACAACAGCCTGGAAAAATCAGGGAAAAATTTACATTAAACAAAACAACAAATCACCAAACTCTTCCACTTTGTATACAAAATATTTGATGGCACTTACTCTGCTTTGCATAATTTTTGCCATGCTTGGTGGTATTTCACTGGGTTCTCAACCTCTGTAGAATGCTCAAGATCTATTGAATCTATATACTAAGAAAGAATAATTTATGAGAAAACATTACTTCATTCTACAGAAAAAGCAACAAAATGTTAAACAGTAGAAAGAACGGTTACTTACCTTGTAACTGTTGTTCTACGAGATGTGTTGCTCATGTCCACTCCATGAAGGTGTGTGCACACAGCAAGCACACATTGCCATAAATTTTTTCCTTAGCAGTACCCATTGGGCCAGCAGGGGTGACACGCTATACTGGCCAATATATACCCCTGCTGGCCCTCCACCTCCTCAGTTCCTTCTTACTGAACTACTCCAAGGAAGAGGAGGCAGGCGGAATTTGGAATGGACATGAGCAACACATCTCGAAGAACAGTTACGAGGTGAGTAACCGTTCTTTCTTCTTGGAGTGATTGCTCATGTCCATTCCATGTAGATCACTCCAAAGCAGAAACCCCAGGAGGCGGGATCGGAGTAGAGGACAGCCCTTCTCAGGGCAGCATCCTCCCTTGCCTGATGTTTCAGTGTGTAATGGTTAGCCTAGGTGTGGACGGAGGACCACGTGGAGGCCTTGTAGATGTCCAGGATCGGGACCTGAGCCACAAAGGCTGTGGAGGAGGCCTGCGCTCTAATCGAGTGGGCCAATAGGGGAGGAGCTGGGATGCCCTGCCAGCCCATAGCATTCCCTAATACATGCCGTGATCCAGGAGATCCTCTGCGCGGAGACTGGCTGACCCTTCAGCCTTTCCGCAATGGCAACAAGGAGCTGAGGTGACTTGTGGAAAGGCTTTGTTCTTTCTAAATAAAAGGCTAAAATCCTCCTAACATCCAAAGTGTGTAGCGCCTGTTCTTTACCCAATGCGTGGGGTTTGGGGTAAAGGACTGGCAAGAAAATGTCCCAAGACACATGGAAATTCGACACCACCTTAGGTAGGAAGGCGGGGTGGGGGCGTAACCTGACCTATTTCTTAAAGAAAACTGTGTAAGGGGGGTCCGAAGTGAGAGCCCTCAGCCCGGACACGCCCCTGGCTGATGTGATGGCAACCAGCGGGGATACCTTGTAGGACGGGTATAGCAGTGAACCCATCACCAGGGGTTCAAATGGAGGTCCCATAAATCACCAAGTTAAAATTCCACTGGGGAACAGGCTGCCAAACATGCGGATAAAGCCTGTCCAGGCCCTTCAAAAACCTGTTCACCATCAGGTCTGCAAAGAGGGTCTTATGCCCAGCACCCAGGTGAAAGGCGGAGATAGCCACTAGGTGGACCTTAGTCGAGGAGCAGGAGAACCCCTGCAGCCTACGATCCAGAAGGTAGTCTAGGACCATGGGGACCGGGGTGACCATAGAGGGCACCCCCCTCTGACTAGACCAGATATAAAACAACTTCAGCTTGGCCAGATAAGTAGCCCTGGTGGAAGATTTCTTGCTCCTCAGCAACATCCCCTGCATATGGGCCAAATTCTGAAGCTCCGCTGCTGTCAGCCAGGGAGCTTCCACGTCATCAGGTGCAGAGACCTCAGGTCTGGATGGTGAAGCCTGCCAGAGTCCTGTGTGATCAGGTCTGGGATTAGCAGAAGCACAACCGGCCTGTCACATGACAGACTCAGAAGGGTGGAAAACCAGTTTTGCTTGGGCCATGCGGGCGCGAGGATGATCAGAGATGCCCTGAATTCCTGCACCCACAGGAGTACCGGGTGGATCAGCGGGAATGAAATTAATGGGTAGCAGGTTTAAAACTAATAAAAGAAGGGCCTCCAGTCAGGTGCAGTAAGGAGCCCTGAATTTGAGCAATTCACCCTGAGCCCGGTCTGTCACAGGGACTTCCCGGAGACTTCGACCCATGGTGGGTCCTTAACACTAGAAAACAGTACTTAACAACTACTCAGAGAATTGATAAGAACAGTGTTGAAACTAGAACAAAGAACTTTAGAAATGAGTGACTGCTAAAGGGCGCTTGCTAGCGAGAGCAAGAACATGTTCCAATGACCGTCACAAGCAGTAAGAAGGGAGAGCAAGAACATGTTCCAATGACCATCACAAGCAGTAAGAAGGAACTGAGGGGGTAGAGGGCCAGCTGGGTATATATTGACCAGTATAGTGGGGCCTCTCAAGGGGGCTCCCCTGCTGGTCCAACAGGTACTACTAAAGGAAAAAATTTCTGACGACACATGCACACTGCACGCATACACCTACATGGGCATGAGCAATTACTTGAAGTTGAACAAACATTTATAGCATAAAACCAGCCTGCAGGCGTTGTCAATGATCCTCATAATAAATATGCATGTGAAAAATACTGGCTAAATATCCAATCCTGCAAGCACCACTGGCTTGAAATAATAACAACAATAATCAAATACAAGGTAGGTTTCCATCGTCAGCAATCCCATTACAAAAATTATTCCAGCACCCCTAGTCCTAAGTCCAGATGCAGAGGTTTGTCTGTAAGGAATTCTTTGTAGGGTTGTGTCTATCATGGATTGTGTAGCCTTCTCAGTGTCTCATTTATATGTACTTTCCTCCCTCTAAATTGGTTCAAGACAGCAACAGTTCCAGATTGAGTCAGACACACTGAGATTCTGGACCAGATCCTCAAATGATGTAAATGAGGATCCAATGAAGTCAACAGGGAAAAGAAGGATAATTGTGGCATTGGACTGGGACCCAAAAGATCTTGGCTCAAAAGTTCATGGCTCTGCCACAGACTAACTTCTGTGATATTGGGCAAATCACCTAATCTCTGTCTCAATTCTTCCTCTATAAAAATAGGTTAAAATTTTCCATTTCTATTTTCAGTTACTCAGGGAAAAGACTGTCCATTACTGTATCCATAGACTGGGGTGGCCAAGAGGCTATCAGTGGGCCAGATCCAGCCCATCAAGCTACCGGATCCAGCTCGTGGCCACCTTGCTGGAACTCTTAGGCAGAGAACAGCTCACACTTTAAACAGCCATCTGCTCTGGATGGCTGGGAAGGGAGGAGGGAATCTACGTATGCTGCCCCCACGCCCCTTCCACAAAATCTCTCAGCTCCCATTGGTCAGTTTCCAGCCAATAAGAGCTGAGAAATTTTGCTGGGGGGCAGGAGCAGGGTGGGAAGCCCTCTGCCCCCCATGCCAGGAACAGAGCATGAGGAGCAGCCAGCAGCCTCTAACTGCAGCATTCTGCCTCAGGTTTATGCAGGGCTGCTGGCTGGGAGCAGCCTAGGTAAGCGCCTCCCAGTGAAAGCCTGCCTCTGGCACCCCACTCTCCCTCTCTCTCCTCTGACTACATGCTCTACCCCACCTCTGTGCCCTTTTTTTCCCCTTCTCCCAGGTCACAACTCCTTCCCAGACCTTCCACCCCCTCCTACGCCCCTCCCCCAGTCCAGAATCCTCTCCTGCACCCCATTCCCCTGCCCCAGGTCACCACCCAAACCCTCTGCTTCTCCTTCACCCAGGTCACAACTCCCTCCCAGACCATGCACCCCCTCCTAGAGCCTCTCTCCCAGGTCAGAATCTTCTCCTTCACCTTTACCTCCATCCTGGACCATGCATCCCAAGCCCCTTCCCCAGATCTCGGCCCCCTCCTTCACCCAAACTCCCTCTCAGACCCCTCACCCCCTCCCTTGCCGCAGTCTCCTACCCCAAGCTCCCTTCTGCACCTAACTTCTGTTCCAGACCCCACACCCCCGTCCACAGAAGTGCGGCCCTTGATCACTTGCCAAAATCTTGGAGTGGCCCCCCATTAAAAATTATTGCTCACCTCTGGCATAGATTGTGCCTAACACAATGGAGGTCTCAATTTTAATTACTGATACACATAATAATTAATAATACTGCAATTTACACCATCTGAATATCTGGTCCATAATATTTGTTTGCCATTTTCTTTCATCTAAAATAAAATCATCCACTTTAGAAGTTTACTTTTAAACATACCAATGGTGAATGACAGGATTGTTTGAGGTTTGTTTGACTGGGAGTTTTGAGGTGTGAGAATTACCATCTACTAACATTTTCTTCTGTTCCAAAAGATGCAATAGAAAATATTTATGCATATTGTTATTATGCACAAATAGCATGCTGTATTTTTTCGTATTTTTGAAAAGAGAAGCTAGATAATTGAACATTTAAAATTAATTCTGCTTACACTATCAAATACACAATCAGCACATTTATAACTATCTGAACGTTATAGGTTATCACTCAAATATGCAAATGTTGCATGATGAGTTAGGTATCACAATGTTCTATTAAAAGACTGCTTCAGCCCACAGGCTGGATCACAGGTGTTTTGCAAGAGCTTTTAAAGTGGAATTAGCTCTAGGGAAGATTTGTCACTGGTCTTGGCTTACACCATGTAACTGCCTACATACATGCTTAAATGTAGGCACGCAAGCAGATCCACTGAATCTCAGTCTCCTTGTGCATGTTGCACAAGGGTTAAGGGATGGCTCGAAATAGCGCATTATTTCAAAATTTGGTGCTGTGTAGATGTGCCAAATTTCAAAATAGATTTGAGATAAGATATGCAATTTGCATAGCGCAAATTGTGTATCTTATTTAGAGTATAGGGTGCTGTGTAGATGCACCCCCTCATTAATAGAGGGCTCTAACATTATTTGCCCTCTCCCCCTGCATCCCTCCAGTTTTCAGTGTCATTTGCCAGAAGGGACGGTGCAAACAGCAAGTGCACACAGACTGAAGAATCTTCCAGGAAGAAAAACAACTTAAGCAGCAAAGCTGTATCTGGCATGACAATGACAATACTTAAATAAATCCTGCACTGTTCCAGCAAAACTTTGGAACCAAAGGAGAGCATGCTGTGCCATAGGATTTCTGATCTCTATCGTGTCTGTCAGAACATTGTCTCTCGCTAAGGCTGCTTGCTCGGTCTCTCCCAAATTAATTGAAGAACAGAATAGTGGATGTGTCTTAAGGCAATTGTTGTCAATTAAAACCAATTCATTAGAGTTTCTTGGGGTGATGCTCCACTCAAAAAAATGAGAAAATAAAGACAGACCTCATCCATTAACATACCCCTATCCCTAAT